TGGCCAGGAGGGACTGACCCTTGAAGAAGGACATCATGCTTGGAAGGATGGAGGGACAGCACAGGAGAGAAAGACCCTGGATGAGGTGGATTGTTACAGTAACTGGGACAGTGGGGTTGGGGGGAGGTAGGTGTGTCAGAGTCAGTTAGCCTGACTCAGGACAGGGCAGGCTTCAGAGCTGTTGTACATAGGGTTGCTAGGGTCACAGGCGACTCAATGGCACGTAACAACAACAACTGAAGAAAATCCAAGACTACATCCTTCAATATAGCTTATATCTCCACATCAAGAAAGCAAAATTCTCACCACTGGTCCAGCAGACAACATGCTAGATGGAGAAGAGATGGAAGTTATCAATAATTTCTTTTTATAACCCCCATTGCAGAAGCAATCAAGAAATCAAAAGAGGTTGCATTGGGGAAATCTGTCAAGAACCTCTCCAAAGTGCTGAAGAGAAAGGATGTCCATTTAGAGACTAATGTGCGTCTGCTCCAAGCCTTAGTATTTTCAGTTGCTGTCTATACATCTGTAAGTTGGACAGTGAATCAGGAGGAAGAAGAAGGTCTTTTAACTGTGGTGTTGGAGATGTGGGGCTTTTTTTCCACGACAACAGAGCCGCTCCAGTGTATAAATCCACAAGTTTGCAGCTGGAGAATGTAGAAAGAAGACTTTTAAATTTTAGCAGTTCACATGAACTTTGAATGCTGTACACAAGTGCTGTGGTTTTTTTAAATATTTTTTTTTCTTTTAATTGTGATTTTAACTAAGGTTGGATTTTCATTCATTCCTTTCTGCACATTTTCCTCTCTTCTCCTCCCTTCTCCGTCCCGCAGTGGAGAAGAGTACTGAGTATCCCGTGGACGGCCAAAAGAACAAACAAGTCTGTCCTGAAGGATGTACAACCAGAGTGATTAGAGGCAGGGTGGTGAAGCTTCAACTCACCAACTTTGGGCATATTTTCAGGAGGAACCAGTTCTTGCAAAGGGGACAACATGCTCGGAAAGGTAGAGGGTCAGTGAAAAGAGAGCAAGACCCTCAGTGAGATGGACTGGACAGTGACTGCCACAGTGGACTTGACCATGAGGGTGACGCAGGACAGAACAAGGTTCAGGTCTGTTGTTACACAGCGTCACTACGAGTCGTAGTTAGCTTGCTGGCATCTAACAGCAAATATATTTGTTGTTGTTACGTGCCGTCAAGTTGCCTGCGACTCACAGCAATCGTATGTACAGCAGCTCTGAAGCCTGCCCTGTCCTGAGCCAGTCTCACTGATTCCAACACACCTGCCCCCATTACCCCAGTTACTGTAACAGTCCATCTCATCCAGGGTCTTCCTCTCCTGCGCTGCCCCTCCTCCCTTCTAAGCACGATGTCCTTCTCTAAGGACTGGTTTCTCCTGGTCACGTGCCCAAAGTATGTGAGACAGAGCTTCAAAATCCAAGCCTCCAAGGAGAAACTTGGTTTCACTCTCTCCAAGACAGTCTTTTTATTTTCTTGGCGTTCCATGGTATGTTCTGTAGTCTGCTCTAGCACCACAATTTATTTTTTTTTAAATAATTTTAATGAGCATTTACAGAGATTTTGGATTTCCATTCATTCATTGCTACACTTCTCTCACCGCCCCTCCCTCCCCCCGCCCCCCAGTTCACTCCTCTCTTTCAAAAGTAAAAGAAACACTCC